ACGACATCTATTTTAGCAAAATTTAAAGTCGATAATTTATAATGAATACTAGTTTAAAAAATTTGGATTCGAGAAAAATACATTAAATATATTTTTGTGTTTTGATAAATTTTTTTATATTTGCAATTTAATCAATATATTTCAAATATGCTTTTTTGTACTAAAAAAGAAAAAAAGCATTTTTTTAAATTTTTTAATTTTTCTATTTGTAATTACATTAGATAGTCTCTATTTGAATTCTTTAATTTTATAACCTTGTCACAATTCCGGAAATATTATTTAAATATTTCAATGAAGTATTTTTAAGATCTAAAATATATATGAAAAAATTTGAAAAGTGCGCTTAAAAAAATATGTATCGAAAAATTTGAAGTTTTACGTGAGTAAATCCCTTTAATATTCGGAGCTGGATCGCGTGAGAAATTGGTATATGCGTAAAACGCGAGCACGTATAGCTGTGCGGAAAGGAAGACGAGAATTCAAAATAGAAAGAAATATTATTTTTTTGGAAAAAGAGAGATTTTCTTGTATATCTTTCACATGTTTACGTGCCATTCCGTGCACTACCGTATAAAATAATAAAACGGCTTTGCGAGATACTTGTTTTGTTATAAACTATCGGCAGAGCTGCATTAAAGATGGAAAATTCGAGAGAGATATCTTGGATGTGATTTTGTATTCTTTGTCTCTGCGGACCGTGTGCCTCCTTGGTTTCTGCAGAGGGATTAAAATTCGATTGCTGAAGAAAAGTAAAATCCAAGGCTCTCTCAATCCCGGGAACAATGGACGCCGAAGACGTTCAATTTTTCATGGCGCTGCCACGGTTGATATTACAGTGATGTTTGAGCTCTACCTTTATGCATAGTACATTCGCGCGCGTCAGTGAAGGCGCATGGATTTGGTCCGGGCATGCCGGACGCCACACAAAAGTACGAGAGTACAAACCTGATAAATCTATCTTCCAGAGTTACGAAATGACATAATTGCCACCTCCCTTTGTTGCCGTCTTTGTTACCGTAGCGCCAGGCGAGTTGAAAGAGGAGAGTTACATCTCTAGGATACGGTTTGCGTGTAATTAGAACGAGTTTCGAAAAAGTAATTAACCGAAGACGCGGAGAGATACCCGCCGACGTAAATGGCATTACTGATATTAATACACAGTTGTTTGCTGAAAAGTCGGCACCGTTTTTTGATTTATACCAAAGCAACTATCTCGTTGTTTACATTAACTACTTTATATCGTGTAAAATAAGATCTAGAGAGTGCGGATTCAGCGGTATCTCCGTTAATTTAAGATAATTGCGTGTTATTTAAATTCCTTTTACGAAGTCGCTTCCTCATTTTGCCTGTTTGTTTTATTCGCAAACACGGCACTAGAATGCTACGCACGATTGTAACTCTCGTTAGGCTTCTCGCCCCCTGGCCTACAGTAGCGGCCACTTTTGAAATTGGCTCTTTTTCGTATTGTCGCCGTTAGTCGAGCTCGCGGCCGTGCTTTTCCCTCCCCTTTCCTCTCGACAGTCACCCGGTTTCTTCCGTCGCTAAAACCCCCGGCTTGCTTTTACTTACTGCTTCAACGGGGAATCCATCCATTCGTCCCCGAAGGGTTGGCGCCCCGCCGTCGGAGGGATGATCGCGCTAAGTGGCAGATTCAGGCTGATCGAAGGCGGCTGAGATAAAGAGGGAGAAAAAAACCGTCTCCCCGGCAGTGAGGGAAGTTGGAGAGTGGACTTAAGCTCGTCGAGAGGGTTACAGCCAGGGGCTGAAAGAAAAGTACGCGGTACGCGTCGATACAAAGTGCTGTTTACGCCATCTCCCACCCTCTCTCCTTCAACCACCAACCCTCTACTTAATTCTACGCCTTTCGCGAGTTTACTTTTAACGTTTGTCCATTTTTTATCGTACATTTTCCAACCGTTCGCGCATTTTCTGTGCATTTTCGAACTGTTTTTCTCGCGCGTGATTAGGGATCACGAGACTCGTCGATTATTTAAGAAACGCGAGATTTATCGCGGTAAGACAAATGATACACGCGTGTGTTCCCAGCTCGCATTACTTCCTAGGATCTTTTATTCATAGATCGGTAACGTGTGTAAAGAAACTTGGAAGAAATGCGTACGACACTATTTTGCGAGATCTCGCTTAAAGATTAACGCAGGTCTTATCTTCCTGCTCCAGCTTGCGGTCTTTCTCTCTGAATGCCGGGAGATATTTTTGTTTCACCCTCAGCCGGACCCGTCAGCCGTGAAAAATGTCGGCGGCGCTTAACGCGATTTTTCCCCTTCGGGCCGCCGCGCCGCGGGGGGGGGGGCGGCTGTATCCCCTCCCTCAATTTGCATTTTTTCCTGTCTCGTGTACCGCGTTCGCGCGCGGTCCCTCTCGATCTGGGTGACAAAGAGGCGGCTGATGGGTGGATCGTCGCGCGGATAAAGGTGTCTTCACAGTGACCCCAACGTCGCAGCGACGGAAGGACCGCCGCAGTAAATCTCTCGCCGACAAGCGAGCGATCCATTGATCCCACGATCGAATGCCGGGAATCCACCCTTTTGTGTCCCGCGCGTCCGCCGCCCCCGGCCACTCCCCTCCCTCTCTCCCGACGGGGAGGTAAATAATGTAGAAGGACTCGTCGGGACGTTAGACAACAAATAAATCAGCCCTCGTCCCCGGGCTGCTACCGCTCCGGTAGCGGATCGTCGCGGTAATCTTCGTGATGGCCGAAGCGCCTCTTTGTCGGTGTCCTCCGGAGGATCGTTCCGATCGGAGACAGAGGAAGCGGCGCGATCGTCTTTTATTTTTCTCACCGGCGCTATCGATCACGCTCAAGTGGTTGCCCCGCATTACACATCCATTCTTGATAAAGGTGGATCGACACACGGATCGGAGGCTGATCTATCTTGATGACGATCGTAAATTTGTCGAGAGAGAGATACGAGAAGAGGGAATACGCGAGACGATTCTAAACGGTTGCAACACGTACACATGGCTTAAATTCGAGAGAAGAGAGAGCTAGAAAAGGAGAAATAATTTCTAGGAAAAATCGATCGGAATTTGTTCGCAAGACTATGAGTTTTATTATTTAAAATTGTTGCGAGAGAGAAACGGAACGAGACGTTGTACATTGTGTTCCAGCGCATCTCTTTCGAAGTGTATACATTCGCTACGGTCTACTTTTCCTACTTTTTCTCTCGGACGGGGTAGCATCGTACAGATAAATGTAATTTCTCTTCCCTCGCTCGCTATATTTCTCTCGGCAGGCAACGCGAATAAACAGTAAACAGTAGCTATTTCGTCGATGACCCGTGATTTCGCGTGCGGAAGAAAAGGGAGCCCCGACGGCGATGCCTTTCTCGGAAGCAGCGGCCACTATCGGCCGTGTTTCCAGATACTTTTCGTCATCGTCCAGCGAATTTTTCTTTCCCTATCGTCCGGGATTTTCTATCCCGGTGCTGATCCGCCCGGCATTTTTCCTTCGGAAGCGTCCATAAAGGGAGGCGCTATCAAAAAGTCCGCTACCACCGGGAGTCCCGCTTTTCCTTCTTCGCATGAATAAAACAAGCCGGATTTAATATATATATATATATATATATATATTTCGCGGTCACACATTGGTCGCCGCGGAGCTTAGAACGCCCGAGGAAACGACTTCCGGTGCGTTTCACCGACTCGAGAGGCCGTACAGGCGGAAGTTGAGTGCCACTGCGAAGATCTACGAATCTCAGACCATACGAGCTGCTGCAGACGACGTTGCATCCCTTATCGCCGAGAAGGAAAAACGTTGCGAATTCCCAAGATCCATTACCATGTAAATATTGCATCGAGTTGCCTCTCACGGAATTTTACGGCCAGTCACATGCATTATGCCGGCCGTATTTTAATTCGCGACTACTTCCAATAGCTCGGTGCGTTGTTTCTATAATAATATTTATGATAGTAATATACACATGAGTATGTCGCAACAATTATCTTACGCCGATCCAAAAAAACCGATCTACATTAGAACACAGAATATATTAAGAATACAAAATATGTAAAGATGCTAAATAAATCGTTTCAATAAGGGAGAAAGGATGAAGCGACGATTTATCATTTCACATCTATTCTTACGAAATCAGTTATTTGCATATTTATTTTGAGCGAATTTTGAATCAAAATATTCATGTGGATCTGAGGGAGAGACGCGCGAGTAAGGCCCTACACGCGCTCATGTTCTTATTTCCGGTATCTTATTTATACTATACCTTTGATCCTGCATTTCCGAGAGGATCATATGTAACTGCAAGCATTTCCTGTATTTGCAGTACACATGGTGTACGGTGGAGTGGAGATTACTCACGCGTGGATTACACGCGCGGTTAGTTTATGCGAAATAATATGTGCGCAACACGCGAGGATCGCGTGTCTTAACTAAATTCTAACATCTCGGTCGTTCAAGCTGCACTTAATTCCGAAGTATAACGGAAGGAAAGCGGTTTAAATCGGTTTAAATCGGTTTAAATCGCATTAAATCGCGAGGGTCGCCCTGCAGGTGAAAAATAAATGCGGCTTATTCGTGGGATGCGAGTCCTTCTTGAATGCGTCGCATCGCGTAACGTCAATCTCGATAAAAAGCAACATTAATTTTTTAACTCAAAATACTTTGGATACCCATAAGTTATATATTTGTAATTTTTCTAAAGTTAAATTATTTTCGGATTATTGGGAGGATATACGTTAAAATCAGCTGCAGTCAATATCTTATATTATTTTTAGCCTGATTTAATTAATATTATTTCTGGCGAGAAATTGTACGATATTCCTTTTATAGCATGATAAATTATCACGGTATCGATCTGGACATCCTAGAAAGTTTCGATCTATTTGTGTGTTTGTGACATTTTAATTTAACATTTTAATGTAATTTGAGAGAACGCGTTCCTCGCACAACTCGCTGCCCGAGATCGATATCCGTGACACGAAATTGTTGATATACGTGCACTAATAATCTATGTCCTTTGTTTCAGGTAAGGATCTAAATTTCGCCAGTAATAACGCGGGTGAGTGTTACATCTAACAATATACTGTTATTACCGCATGCGCCAGTTCTCGATTACCAATTGTTCGCCGTGTTGACGGGGAGTGCGCTAGAGAGTTTCCGCGCAACTGCGTACCGTAATCGACATTAACGACCCGTGCTTCGCGCTTTCGAATTTTGCAAGTTTCGTTACGTTATTGACGATGCACGGGTAGAAAACAATTGTTTGCGAATAATATAGATTAACTCGATCGTAAATTCGATCGGGGTGCTGGTATTCAACGCCAGCGGTACCTCGTTATTATTTTCGCGAGTTTCTATACGCCACGTATTATATATTATAATTAATATATTAATGACGAAAAAGATCGCTGATTTAGTTTCGCTTTGATAATTCTGAGACAATCCCTACGTATGCGTAGGCATACATGCGTATTCCGCGGTTTTTGCTGCAATTACCAGCAGCATTGTTTCCAACAGTGCTATTACATCGATCGATATCACGAGCATTCGATATTGTCGCGCTAAGTCTGCCTGCTTAGGCAAGAAATTATTCGTGTAAGAGCTCTCTTCTTTTTATCACTCCAAACTCCTCGGCGCAATTTCCGACGCCGCGCCGTGCCGCAAGCGCGACTCGTCTTCTTTCGACCTCGTCGACTCGAGAAAAGTACCGATTCATCTAAATCTCGTGTAATTCGCTAAAGATTCCCGTGCGCGCGTGATGCGCGCGTTCCGTAGATCTGGCAGAGGAAGAAGTAATTCTTCCGCGCGAAGCGACCGTTTGCCAATGACGAGAGGTTGGTCTTTCTCGCGGAGGGTAGGGGGAGAGGGGGAGATACGGAGGAGTCCATCTGGAACTGCAGAAGAAAGAGGGAGAGACCGGAGGAGACTTGCCGTGGGTACCGCCGAGATAAGGACGGCAAATTGCAGGCAATCTGGCTGATTAGGCTCCGGGATAGTAATCCCGGAGATCCCAATGTCGGGCCGCGCGTCTATACCGTTCCATTCGACTGCGACTGCCTTCGCCGTAGTGCCGGCCGAAGAAAGGAGTACGAAAACGGAACTTGGAAGGGTGGAGGGAGGGGGTGACCGTGGAGGAGCCGCGGCGGGAGGACTGTCGAGCGGTGAAAGCGACGTCCGTTACATCCGCACCGCGCCGCGCCGGGAGATTAGGATTCTGCCGGGAAGACCCGGTGGAATTGCGGGAAAGGGGAGATTTCTTTTCATGCGCCAGATCGACGATACGTGTACTCGTACGTTACTCCCGAGTCTTACCGTCGTCGCATTCTCTTCGTTTCTCTTCTTCTCCCTTCGCCGTCCCTTCCCCCCTCTCTTCCCGGCGACCCCGTTGCTAGCGTCGTTCTATTCTTCGTTTCCATATCGCGGTCTCCCTCTGATGGATACCGTGAACTTCTTTTGTCGACGGTTCATCGCGGCGCACGCCGCGAAATCACGTTCGTTCGTCCGTGAAAAATCCCGCGGGGAGTCACGGCGGACCCTCGTCATCTTCCGTTCGTCATTCTGAACTCACGAGAGCTTCACTCGGATGGGAAAAGAAAAAAAGAAGATAAAGAGACGGCGAGATATAATTTTTAACGATTCCACGTTGATATACGGTAATCTACGTGGCGCGGTAAGAGAAATCGAAACTCGCGGGTTGCTTTTCGTCTCTGGGACGGATTTACATGGCGAAGGAGCGGCAGGCTGACGGAAAGAAGCGAGCCCGCAAATAAATAAATAAATATATATGAAATCCGCGCATATACGCGTACACATACATACTCGCGGCGGCCGGGAATGTATTGACCGTGGCGAGCGGCGTTCGCGCCGCGAGAAAAGTCGGGCGCGCGTCGTATCAATTTTACCGGCGCCGTCGCTGCACCGCGTCGCCGAGTTGCCATCCGCTTTTTGCTCCCCAGCAATGCATTTAAATTATTTATAATGGGGGCTGCTTTTTCAATCTACGTCAGCGAACGGCCGACGGGAGAAGAATGGCAGGGAGAAAATATCATACGGCCGGCGCGAATTAACATCGCCTACTGGCCGATCGTCGTCCAGTAGATATATATTCGTATATATATCGTCGTTGCGATGCATAGTAATTTATACGAAATCGCGCGCGATTCGAGGCGAAAGTCAGCTTACATTTATTAACGTTTGACATATTCGCCCTGCGTAATGTCACTTCTTCGTGAATATCAATTGACAATTCGCATATCAATTGAAAACGACGCATGCATATCGCGATAACTCGTACAAAACGAAGGAAATAAAGATATATTTAAAGAGTGTCCCGACGCTGGTCGCAAAAAAGTCACCTACACGTGTAATTTCTGCGACAATTGAATCAATTTCAGAAAAGGAAGACTATATGTAACCATTTTTTTTTAATATTTTCATAATCCGCTTACAATTAGAGAAAGATAATAGAAGATATTTTTATTTCCTTTCTTCTTTCCTTCTCTCAAAGGAATTGTAATCTTTCCTTTGCTTTATTATGCACCTATAATAAATAAAAGAGCATCAAATTTTATTTTTAATAACATTTTTATTTACACGGAAAGAATGGTTTTGCTGAAGAATCTAAAAATTTAGCTAGATATAGAAATAAAGAGATGATTCTGTTGGAATATTCAAATAATTATGTAGGACGTTGAAACTGCTAGAATGTCTAAACTTTTTGCAGCAGTACCGTCATGCTTGAACGTCCTACATAATTATTTTGATGGCTCAACAAAATCATTTTAATATTTAGCTAAATTTTTAGATATTTTAGTAAAACCATTCCTTTCTGTGCACACATGTTTTACGATTAAATAAGAGCCAGAGGGGCTCTTATTTATTTAGGGTATAAAAAACGGGATAACGACGTAAATAATCAGGACATCTTGCAACAAAATGCGTCTCGACGTATAAAAGGTGTTTTCTTCTAGGTATTACTCTCTCTGTAATCCAGAAAGTCAACGATAGCTCTCTCTCTCTCTTTCCCTTTTCCTTCCTTCCTCGTTCCCTAGCGCGATGTGAAAAGAGATTATAAAATCTACGCGCGAACACGAAGGTGGTAATAGAATTTTGGAAAAAGAGAAAGCCGAGTACCGGGGAGATGCCGCCTCAGCCATGTCCGACGTGGGATTATCGGGGTCGACAAAGGGATTTTAAGGGGATGACGTGGGATTGGATCGCTAGAGGTGCGCCGCGAGGCTCTCGAGAGCCGCTTTGTGTCTCTGCTATAATTATTATTTGCGGGATCATCGATCTTCAATGGCCCCGTAAAATTGCGTCCTGCAAGAAGCACGTGTAAGTGTCAGGTGCTGCAAGCTCAGTCCGGTTAACGAGTTTCATAACTCGTATACTAGTTTATGTACGTCTTTCTTTGAAATTATAAAAGAACGTCTTTACTTTCTCTTCAATAATTCAGAATCGTGAGAGATTGATCGTTTGAAGAAAACGCGAAAGTGTTTTTTAAAATGCACGCATTTGCATAAATCAAATACTTACAATTTTAATACAAGCAAGTCAATAAACGAACAAAAAATGTAATTTTAGAGATATACATATACGAAATATACAAAAATAGCTTTATATTTTAATTTTATTTTATAAAACTTGCGAGTGTCGTATCGCTCTTTTAAATATTTTATTTAATTTCCTGAAAGTTTGCTAAAAACTGGGTTGAACAATTTCTGCGCGAGACCCTTCAATTAATGCAATCAGAATTAATTAACCGCGGCTCGATCTCTCTTTCTCTCTCTCTCTCTTTTTTACCCTGCCGACTTCTGGCGGCCAATCGACCGTGCGCGTCGGCCTCGAAAAAAAAGCATTCGCTTGCAATCTCTCGTTTTCGGTGGTCGGTTTAATTAGAAAGCAACGGGCGTTAAAGCAAACGAACGTGCGGCGACTGTGCAGCCTCTTTCCTTTTGCCAAACCGCTCGCAAAAACATCGCTCTTGCACATTCGCGATTTTATCGTAAATGCCTTTGAAAAATTAATTACAAATGTCGTGAGACGGAGCGACCAGAGCGATAGTCGGCGAAATGCTTTCGGTCCCCGACTGCAGTGTTCCAATTTGAACTTAATTCTAAATTTTATCACGATCGTGTTCTCTTGCACGTCGACTTGCGTGGCGGTAAAAGCTTAAGTAGTAAACGGCCGCATAAGGCAGCCGCGGAAATGTTCGCTGCGTTCGGCACAGGAGTCTCCGTTTATTTTGCACTCGATATCTCTAGATCTTCGTGTTGCAAGTGCAATACATTTGACGCAGAGCTTTTCTCGAAAGATGCGAGTTGTAAGAAACGAAAATTATTGCGATACGTTCATATTTTCTAACTCATTGATATCTAAACGTTAATATTAGCAAGTGAAGAAAATTACCACTTCGTGGTAGATTAAACGGAAACATGCGAAATGAAAAGAGCGTTTTACATGCGCAAAAAAAAATAGGGAAAGAGAAAGGGAGGAAGGGGAGGAGAGAGAAATGAAAGTTGATCGTGCGCAGATAGGGTATTATAGTTTGGCCGGAAGCAGGCGAGAGTGCTATTGGCTGCGCCGTATCGCGTAACACGATCGCAAAGGGTCCGCTTCCTCCCTCGTATGCCGGTGACATCGAGCGGATTTGTAGGGAATTGCGGAAAGTGCAGAGCGCGGAAAAAACGGCAGATAAAACACGATCCGAACCACCTGGCGGCATATAGAGAGCGAGGGGGAGGAGAAAAAGGGAGAAAGGGTGACCGGGAAAGGGCGGACGAGCGACGAAGGGGGAGGGGGAGGGAGAGGGATGTGTGAGGCGGGTGAAGGGTCGGGCACGGCCGTATCGGTCGAATTATCGAGTGGTACGTTACGGTTTTATGCAGATTCGCCAGAAACGTCGGGGCAGTTTCGGAATTAATGGCGGCCGGACAAATGTTTCGCGGTTTTTCTGCTGAATTATCGTACCCCCGGGCGCAACATAACGCGCCCCGGTCCGCCGTGTGAGTCGCGACGTTGTACACACGTACGGCGCGTACACGTATACGCGCGGCGTCC